CAAGGCACCCACCTGCTTTCTCACCCTTTCTCACCTCTGCTGGAAATCTTGTGCTGGAACAAAGTGAAACCTAAAGTACTCTAGGCAATGGGATCTACTCACCGCAAGCCCATGCCCAGATGCTTTATCAGGTTGCTCAGGGAGATGTTGTTGGCATTAAAGGGTTTCCTCTTCTCTGCAAACTCATGAGCCAGGCAGATGCGCCAGCCAAAGGGAGGCACCTGGTAGCCCTTAGCTTTGCCTTCATAAGAAGCCATCAGTTGCCCACAGTCCTGCGGATTGCTGCACCCCGGCTCACTTAGGGGCCGATTGTCTTCAGGGCTGTCGCAGTCTGTAACCTGCCCAGCCTCAGTGCCTCCAGCATTATCAGGGCAATAAACCTGTGGATCCCCTTTGGCACAGCTAGTCTGCTCCGAGGCTGGGACTCCGGTTCCCATGTTCTCAGGATCCTGGGTCCCCACGGCCTCGATGGTCCCGGGTCCCAAGTCTTTGGGTACAAAGTATCTCTCTAGGCAAGTCCAGATGCGGGCGGCGGTGGTTGTTAGGTGTCGTCTCGGAGGGCCAGGCGCTGGGGAAAGCCGAGGTGAGCTAGTGTTTCCGTGGAGCCTGGGAGCTGTTGCTGCAGCGGCGTTGGCGGCGACAGCAATAAAGCCGCCTCGGGCTCCCCCTCGGTCTTCTCTCTGGGTCCTGGGAGGGAAGGATCGGGTCTCGTCGTCATTGGGCCGCGGTGATTAGTTTGCCCAGCCAAAGGGCGACTGAGCCCGCGGAAAGGGGAGGAGCCCCGGGGGCCAGCCCGCAAGGAACCGCCCCCGGGACCGGCCTGGGAGCTTGCGGCCGCCTGAGCCCCGTCTCCGGGCCGTGGCGCCAGGCCCCACCCCGCCCTGGGTAGGGCGCCGGGTCCCGCCGGTTGGCTTCTGGGACAGCGCCTGCGCCCGGGTGCCAGCCTGTGGGAAGGTGACCCAAGGCGGCGGGACAACCCGAGCCCCTTCCGGTCCGATCAGCCGGGCGTTTCCGGTCGGAAGGCGCTCGGTGGGGAAGGGGGACTGAAGGGAAGTCCCGCCTCTGCCGCGGACGCCGCCACGCACTTGGCCCGGTCGTGGAAAGGCGGGCAGGTGAGGGCCTCGGTGTGCCGAGACCGGGTATTCGACCGTGTGAGGTGCCCGGGCTAAGGGCACGAGGTGACGGGCGGTCGTGGCGTTGGGCTGGGACCTGGAGCCTGGAGGGAGGTTGGGGAGGCTGGTTTGGGGGTTCCGGGAGGTAGGGGGACTAACTCGGTACTGAGAGGGGCGGGGGTCTGGAACCCAGAGAGACGTCCTCCCCCTGCTGGGTCAGCTGCCACCCGTACTTCCATCCACTTTCCCGCACCCCAAAGCCAGGTGCTTCACTTAGACACCGTGCTGGTGGCCGCTGGTCTCCTCTGTCCTGGCCCCAAGGTTCTCCGCAGACGCCCCTCCCTGCCATGGTACTGACCTCTGACCCCCCTTGTTTCCTTTTAGATCTGATTCCGGAGCTGCCATGATTGAAGTGGTAGCAGAGCTGAGCCGAGGTCCTGTGTTTCTGGCGGGGGAGGCGCTTGAGTGTGTGGTGACAGTCACCAACCCCCTGCCCCCCACAGCCACTTCTGCATCCAGGTGGGGATGCAGATACTGAAGGAGGTGGTTCTTCTGGGAGGAAGCCTGGTTTCTATGGTGCTAAGCCAGAGCTCAGATTGTCCTGTAGCACACCACCACCTTCTTGCTCATTGCACTCTCATTGTAGGAAAGGGCTGTTGAACTGAACGTGTGGTTGACAGAGCCCTCCACGCTCCCTTCTCCCCTTCCCCATTTCCATTTTACCCACAGTATACTTCTTTTTAATGGATTCTCTTTGAGGTTCAGGATTCCCCGATCCCTAAGACAGCCACTTCACCATGTTGGTCTCCTCAGATGGTGTGGGGGGGTGGGGGGGAGTTTGGGAGAGCATTTGTGAGGTCAGGAGCTCCCCTCTGATGCTTTCTTTTCTTCTTCCCATAGTGAGGCTTTGGCCTGGGCCAGTGCCCAAATCCACTGCCAGTTCCATGCCAGTGAGAGTCGAGTAGCACTACCTCCCCCTGACTCCAGTCAGCCAGACGTCCAGCCTGAGAGCCAGACTGTCTTTCTACCACACCGAGGTTAAAGATGGGCATTTGCCTTTGGAAGGGGGTGGAGTCATTGTCACCTGAGAGTGAATTTGTTAAGTTGTTCTAGTGGGTCCTTATAGTTTCTGTCATATTGGGAATGTTGGGGAATGTAATTGTTGTTTTGGGGGTATATGACTGTTTGTATCTTACAACAAGAAAATAAGGGTAGCTCACTTTGGGCTGCCCCCACTTGCTGTGCTAGTTTCACCTAGTACTAGACAGTGTGGGTCATTTTTTTTTTTAATTTTTTTTTTTAATGTTTATTTGTTTTTGAGACAGAGAGAGACACACCATGAACGGGGGAGGGTCAGAGAGAGAGAGGGAGACACAGAATCTGAAACAGGCTCCAGGCTCTGAGCGGTCAGCACAGAGCCCGACGCGGGGCTCGAACTCACTAGCCGTGAGATCATGACCTGAGCCTAAGTCCGATGCTTAACCGACTGAGCCACCCAGGCGCCCCTAGACAGTGGGTCATTAAATTGCAGTCTTTCTTATCTCTTTCAGGTGAGAGGGGTCAGTGTATCCTTTCCACTCCACCAAAAATCCTTTTCTGTGATCTGAGGCTAGATCCTGGAGAGTCCAAATCATGTGAGTGCCTATCTCTTTCCCACCCCTGGATTGCCTTCTAAGGCTCCTGGAGGGAGGACTTCTCTGGCTGCCTCTGGCTGGCCTGACTACTACTTCCCAACCAGACTCCTACAGTGAAGTGCTGCCCATAGAGGGACCACCCTCCTTTCGGGGTCAGTCAGTCAAGTATGTCTACAAACTGACCATTGGCTGCCAGCGTGTCAACTCACCCATCACTTTACTCAGGGTCCCTCTGAGGGTTCTTGTGCTGACAGGTAAGTAAGGATTCCTGGAGGGAAGGGCTGGGGAAGAACCTCACCAAAGCAGAAATGATCTGTAGAGGGCCTGCGAGGGGGGCTGGAGGGAAGCTTCCTGGTCTTAGTAAAGGTGCAAGTTGGGGGGTGGGGGGCAGTTTCTGGAGACTAGGTTGAAATGTGTACCTGGGATGTGACTCCCCTTACCTTCAGCCGTCACAGGTTGGAGGCTAAAACCCTAACCTCTACTGTCTATTCCCTCCTAGCACTACCTTTCCATCTCTTCTCTCTGTAGGCCTTCAAGATATCCGGTTTCCCCAGGATGAGGCTGTAGCCCCATCTAGTCCATTCTTGGAGGAGGATGAAGGTGGGAAGAAGGATTCATGGCTAGCAGAGCTGGCTGGGGAGCGTCTCATGGCTGCCACATCCTGCCGCAGCCTCCGTGAGAATCCTTTCACAATTGCCCTCCCCCATAGCCCCATATTATTACTGTCTCTGACAGATTTTCCTAATTGCCATATGCTTCTTGAGGATTCACTGATACTCATCCCACATTATAAAGAAAAACCCCACCTTGGCCTCTGGCTCCCAGCCCTTGGTACTCCCCAGTGTGGACTCCAGGCTCATAGTGTCCCATTCTTCCCAGATCTATACAATATCAGTGATGGCCGAGGAAAAGTTGGGACATTTGGCATCTTCAAATCTGTATACAGACTCGGCGAGGATGTGGTGGGGACCTTAAACTTAGGGGAAGGAACTGTAGCTTGTTTGCAGGTGAGAAGGAAAGGGGATTTTGGGGTGCTGGGCCTGGAGGGCTAGGGAGGAAGGAGGAAGGGCCTACATAAAGAGGGGTGGTATGTAGAAGTGAATAGTGTGGTCACCCAGGGTCCTTTTGGTAAAATAGCTTGAGATTGGGCTCAAGCCTCTCACCTAGAGTCCTTATTTTCAAGTGCCTGCTAGCAACCACTTCTCTTCTTGCTCCCAGTTTTCAGTAAGTTTACAGACTGAGGAACGTGTACAGCCTGAATACCAGAGGCGCCGCAGGACAGGGGGTATCCCCTCTGTCTCTCATGTGACTCATGCCCGGCACCAGGAGTCCTGCCTACATACAACCAGAACCAGCTTCTCCCTCCCCATCCCTCTCAGCTCCACCCCAGGATTCTGCACAGCCATTGGTGAGACCCAGACCATCATCGGCGGCGGGAGGGGGGGGGGGGAGTAAAATGCTGTATTTAGGTAGAGTGTAATGGGTCCTGATTCCTAACAAACTCCTGGACATACCCACACCCAGCCTCCGACATGTAACACTTTCTCAGACATTCAGTCTGTTTCCTAGATGCACTAACTTCTAAATTCTTAAGAGCTTTACAGATGTCCTTCACTGCCCCTACCCACTGAGACCCTATGATGCACTGATCTCTGATTCCCCAGCGTGTTTACTTTAATCTACCAAGTCTTGACTGTTCCACACTTAGATTATTAGATGCTTGACCTTGCTATCCTGTTGACATGTTTCTGGTTAACACTGGATTTCTTTAGAGAAATCCCTGATCCTAGCCCTGTGACTTCTTCTCTTCTTCCTGAATACCACTTTTTCCCCCCATTTGCTAACCATATCCTGCATTGGTTTTTACTCCTGCCTTCTAATGCCTCCCCACCTTTATCTGTTTTTTTCCACAGTGTCCCTGAAGTGGAGATTGCATTTTGAATTTGTAACATCGCGAGAACCAGGTTTGGTGCTCCTACCTCCCTTGGAACAGCCTGAGCCTGTCACCTGGACAGGGCCTGAGCAAGTGCCCGTAGACACCTTCAGCTGGGACCTTCCAATCAAGGTGCTGCCCACAAGCCCTACCCTGGCCTCATATGCAGCCCCAGGCCCCAGCACCAGCACCATAACCATCTGAAACTGACTCACCACGACGCTATCTTTCTTCAGGATACTGAGAACTCAGCACCTGGACTCTATAGTAGGGCCCATTTTCCCCACCTGGGTCCAGTGGCATGGACAATGAGAGGCAGGCTTTTAGCTGTAGCATTAATTTATTTATTCAGAATAAATTGGCAGCTGCTAGTGGTTTCCTTGGAAGTGGCAGCAGCAGTGGGCAGTTAGCGGAAGGGTGATCGGTTGAGTTTAGTTGGAGTGGGGAGCAGGGGCCCCAGGGGCAGGGGTGTTGGCTGAGCCCCATTCGGGGTCAGGCCCTCCCCCTTTGCAGGGCAGCCGAGGGTCAGATTTTTGCACCAGGGAGAATTGACAGGTTCCTGCCTCCTGACGTACCTCACACCCCGCGGGGAAGTCGATGGGATGCTGAGACCTGGGGAAGCAAAGCATGGGAAAGGAGTCAGCATGGTGAAGGCCCCCTTTATCCCTGCCCTACTTTCCTTCTCTGCCAGCATTCTTCCCATGTCTTTAGTGCCCTCTTGTTCCCTGTGACTCAGCCCTGGCCTGCCATATATGGATTTTTTCGTTTCATAGCAGAAATATTTTCCCTCCAGACCGCCCCCTACATCCCTCACTTCGTAGCCTGCAGCCTTCTCTCTTTCTCTCACTCTTGTTGGTACCTTCAGGTTCATCCAGCCTCATACCTCTATTCTGTTCATTTTCCCACCACAACAGTCTGGTTATACCCTGGCAGTCTGTGGTCACTCACGTGTCACAGCAGCCCACACCGACGGGATGCAGACAGGTACAATGGAAACAGTCCTTGCGGAGCCAAGACTCACCGAGGCTAAAATATTTCCCTTCATAGTGGCAGGGGGCTAGGGAAGAACAGGAGATGTTAGTGTGTGTGGGAGTGGTAGTGGCAGACAAAAATCACTTGTGGTCTGCAGTGGGAGAAAGTAAGTACACATCACCTCCATATTTAGTCTCTCCAGTTTCCGAGCTGGAGGGAGTCTGGGTTTTCTGATAGAGGATCATCTCTAAGCCCCCCTCATCCCAACTCCCTCTGTCCTCGGCCTTTCCAAATACCTCCCCCAGCTTTACCTTGAGCTTGAAAGTAGCACTTGCTGTGGACTCCTGGCTGCTGGAGGAGCAGAGATATCACCAAGCAGATGATCCCCCAGCTTCCCAGGACTCCCTTCGCCTGTCCAGACCAGAGCATCATTAGGGTCATTCCTGCAGCACAGCCCTCTCGATCCCTTCTTGGCCTCTGTTCCAGACTACTCTGGTCTTGTCTCTTTGGCTTTTCTTTGTTTTTCTCCTTGAGTCTTAGTTTCTGTCTTTCTCCCCTGGGCTCCTGTCTCACACCATCTCCTTGCCCTCTGCTCTCACAGGCTTGGGATGTTTATAAAGTGAGGACCCTGGCCCCCTGCTGAGCAGAGCTGGAAAAGCTGTAACTCTGTTTCCTGAGGTGAGGGCATGAAAACAAGAGGTCTAGCTTTAACAAGCTGTGAGAGCTGATTCATGCCCCGGCACAGCGAGGGGGAGGGAGGTGGCCATGGAAGGGGCACTGACTGGGCACTGCCCCAGCAAGGAGGTGGGAGGGATAAGGGCCCCCAGGTGGTCCCCACATCTCTTCCCTGACCTGGAGAGGAGGAAGCATTCCTCCCCACCCCCAACACACACATACACACCAGGGGTGTGTGTGCTGGGATCCTTGCCTGGACCGGAGGGAGGCATTTCCTGGGGATGGCTAATCCTGCGCTCCAGCCAAACCCAGGAGCTGCAGTAGGGTGCGACAGCCAGAGGCTCCGGGAGAGCGAACCGACACCTGGAGTGGAGAATGTTTCTCTCAGACCCTAGGGCAGAGTCTCCCTGAAGTATGCTAGAGATGTGGGTGCTCCTCCGAGATGAGGAGGTGGGTGTCTCTTTTGCACAAGCCTACCGGGGATGCGCTTTCCATTGCTCGGTACCCCCAAACATACGGCACATGCAAGATCTTCCCTTATCTGGGGACAGTTCTTTTAAAGAGGGACATCTCTAAATACTCTACTGGTATGAGTCACTCCGGTTTCACAGAGGTGCCCCTGTTTCCTCTAAGAACGAGAATTGAGGAGTCCTCCATGTCCTCTTTTGGGTTTCCTGCAGGCTCCGGAGAACCCCAAGATGGGTGATTAAGACTGTAGGTTATAGAGTCAGACTACTTGGATTCAGATCCTGATTCCACTTAAGAGCTGTGTGACCTTGGGCAAGCTACTTCAACTCTCCAGGCCCTTTTCCTTATCTTTAAATTGGGATAGTAATACTAACTCAGGGTTGTTGTGAGGCTTTAAATGAGATGATGCGTGTAATGCTTTTAGCACTGTCCCTGGCACATGAGCCTCAGGAAATGGTAGCTGCTGTGGTTGGTGCTAAAGCTCAGATAAAATGGGGAGACATTCCTTTGTTTGAATGGTATTGAGCAGCTCTGCACAGCTGAGGACTTCTGTGGGGGGCTGCTATCTCCTATCACAGACTTCTGCCCTTTGTGCATTCGTGCTCTATGTCACCCTTACTACCTCTGGTTTGAGAAAAAAGTGTTGGGGGTAAACCCACTTTTCCTAGGTCAGTCAGTACCCTCACTTCTGCCCTGGGAGAAGGTGTCAGTTTCTCATCCTTCCAGGTAACATCGGGACCCCTGCTTTTCTCATTAGGATTTTGATCCATTTCTTCCCATCCCCGCTCATGTGAACTCTCAAGTTCTTCTATTTGACCACTCTAATGCCAGCCATCTCTTTGGTACTAATGACACCTTTCTTTCACTTTCCCATACTGCAAAGACCTTTTTCTAGCTGTTCCTTTCCTGTCTGGAGGGCCACTTTGACCTTCTGTTTTTCCTTCTAAGTCTCCAGTCCATTTTACTGCAAGAGTCTCATTCCCTGCCACCCAGTGGATCAGATACAACTACTTCTGGCTGACCTTTTTAGAGGGCCACCCTGCCTCTCTCCTCTTCATTCAGAAACAACTTCGTCTGTCCACCTCAGACTCCCTATCTGTCCTCTTCCAAGTAATGGCTTAAGTGGATGGAGATGCCAACTATATGTACCACATGTTCACCCTAGTCAGGTCTGATACCTTTTCTATTTCAGAGGAGTGCCAAGAGAAAAAAGAAAATTCATGGTTGAAGCTGGGTGCCTTGATGTAGGCTGGTGTGTGGGAAACATGACCCTGGACTGCTCTCTTGGCTGGAGCAGGTGGATTAGGAGTCCTTTCTAGCACAAGGGCCCAGAAATCTTGTCAGTGGTCAGTAGCTCTGCTGCTACCTTTCTGGGGAAGGGGGGCCCTGCTGATAACCCTGGAAATCTGGGGCACAGAAAGCCTTTTGCTCCTGCAACCTGGAGCCGACCCAGTAGGGGGCAGACACGACTGGGGAGCTAGGAAGCTTGAAGGTGGTGATGATGCCGGCCGGCAAAGGGGGCCCAGTAGGGATTGGTGTGTGTGTGAGGTAATGGGGACAGAAGTGGGGGCCACCTATAATGAAGATGAGGTAGGCATATGGGCAGGAGTAGGGGGCTTCTTTCTAGAAAGAAAGCCGGGGGCTGAGTCGGGATCCTTCTCACAGAATTTGGGGGAGGGGGGCGTGTCGGGGAGGTGTTGGTTGAATCCACTTGCATTCCTGTTGGTGTGCACGTTCTTGTGTGCGACTCTATAGCTGCTTGGGCCCCGAGGCCACGCTTGTGGTTGCTGTGTGTATGCTTATGTGTAGAAGAGGTCAGTGGTTAGGGCCCAACTCTGATTCCTGGGGCCGCGGCCGTTGGGAATGCCAGTTGCGGGGGGAGGGGGGGGCGGGGGGCGGCCAGTAGGGGGTGATTGGCGCGCGCGCGCTGGGACAGAAAAAACATCCGCCGGAGGCCCGGCCGGGCGGCGCTCCAGCGGTGCCCAGCAGGCAGGTGCGCGAGGCGAGGAAGTGAGCGCATTCCGGCCCCCCGGCCGCCGGCCCTCCGGTGAGTCACCGCCGACCCCTGCGGCCCGCTGCCGGATAGGAGGGACCGGCCGCAGAGGGGAGATTTGGGTGGCCGGAGCCCCTGAGGGTGGTGGGGGGGGGAACCCCTTCAGGGTTACCGTAGCGCTGGGGAGAGTAAAGGGAGGAAGGGTCCTGTGGGGTCGAGGTCCTGGTTTCACCCCAGGCGCGAAACCCCTAATAGACACTGAATACAGAGCCCGTGACTGAATGGAGGCAGGCAGGGAGCCTCCCTTGGGAGAATCTTGGGGCAGGGAGAAGGCCCCAGAGCTCGTGTGGGAAGGGAAAGGGGCCCTGGGCAAAACAGCAAGTGGGTGAGACCGTCTGGGGAGGGGAGGAGTGTGGGGCTGTGGAGTGAGAGCACGGTGGACTGGAGTGCTGGAGGATCACAGCGCCAGTGTAGGCCTTGGCGAGCCAGAGCCTGTAGATGAAAGGAGACTTCATATCAGGTAGGAAGGTGGAAATGGCCAGACCCCAGACATAAGGTCTGCCCAGAGGCCTGTGTGCTCGGAGAGTGGAAGGTAGGTTTAGAGGGTGGTGGGACTTAAGGTTAGGTAGGTACCCTGTAGCCAAGTCATTAAAGGCTTTGAATGCTGGGGTGAGGAATTTGGATTTGGCCTTGCAGGTGGCAATGACGGCCTCTGAGCAAGAAGAGTAGTGACTGACTTAAAGGCAAGGTTATCTGTGTGTAACATTACTGCCTCCCATTCCGTCTTTGCTGAAGAATTAGGCATGGATATGCTAATTTTTATAGTCATTTAACACTGTGTAACTGCATTTATCAAACGATTAAGTGTTGGGTTTTTAAAACTAGTAAAGTTGAAAAATCTGATTCAATATTTGATTTAAAACCCAAAGTTGAGGCTATCAAGATTAGTTACATGGCATTATCGTGCTTTTGTGTCCCTTTTTCTCGCAGTGACCTGAGTGAATTCTGTTTCTAGTGCCTCAGTTTTGTATCAGCACAATCCTTCTAGTTTTCCCCTCCTTCGTCTTATGGTCTTTATTTTTAACCTTAACTTTCTTCTGTGCAGCCATTTAAACTGCCCTATAACCCAAACCAAGTAAAACATTTCTTGGAGTGGGCACTGGGCTACAGTATACAAATAACCCAGCTTTACAAATGTATTATATTATTATCTTCTGTGCACATGTATGTAACTGTGCGGTTTCTGTGTTTAGCCTGTGGCTGATAAAAAGAGAGAGAAAGCTAAATCTGCTTTATTCACAATAGTATTTATATAACAGTACTTATTAGTGTGATTTCTAAAATCAACTCTATGATGGTATTTGTCTCAGAAACTGACGCTCATTCTATCATATCATGATCTTTATATTTATTTTATCTTGGGCTGAGGCAATTCCAAGAATTAGGATTTTAATAATTTATTTTAAAGATCTTTAAATCCTGCAGTTGCCTTTGGCCCCTAACAAGAAAATCTGGGTCAGTTAATTTAAAAAAAAGAAAATGATTTACTATATTGGGCCCTGCTGCTTTCTCCTGTGCTGTTTCAGTCCCAGCCCTACCTTATTCCCAGTGGCTTTTGCCTTCATTCCTTCTTTGCTCTGCGGGGCATCTTTAGAGGAAAACTTCACACCAACTTCCTCTACCATAAATTCTCTCCCTTCCTTCAATTCTACACTTCTCTTTGCCAATGTACACCACTACTTCTTCATTGATTTTTTTTTTTTTTTTTAAACCTACAGCCCTTTCTGGCTCTTTTCCATCTTTAACACTCTCTTGTTGAAATCTTCTCTTTTTCCTCCTTTCTGTTTGGTAAGACCTTAGATTTTTAAAAGATTGGATTTTATGTATTATTTATTCTGCATGATCTGTCTTCCTTCCTCTTCTCTCACCTTTTTCTGATTTGGGGCTGTTTGTAAACCCTGTTATGCTTGCTTTAACCAACGCTTCAACCTTCCCGTTGTGATTAAGCATTCTTCCTCTAGGTACAGCAGAAAACGCTTATGTTTCCACTCTTTTTCCTACAAGGAAAAAAGGTTTTCAAATTTACATCGACTTCAGCCTCTTCTTCCAACATTTTGCATCCAGCAGCATGACGTGGTCAATTGTAAAGTCCGTTGAGTGACTCCACTTAAGCTTGATGTTGTGCTAGGCACTGAATAGTGAATTTCACAATCCTGGCACCAGTTTCCTCAGCAATTGCCAACAATAGATGTTACCACATGCGTGCGTGTGAATTCTCTCGTGTATATGCTAAAATGCACAGATAGTATAACGAGTCAGTATGTGTGTATGAAT